TCACAATCAGTCTTTACTGTGCTTGAAGCCGACACCAAAAATCTTTGCAAAATTACAAATTACTAGATGTGCTGGATGCCAAAAGTAATAAACTCAGCTGCAACAGAGGGTGTTGGTTCTCTCCTATGTACCAAGAGAAGACACTGTGCTACATTCATCATTTAATGTCATAAAGTGCGTGCAAATCCAAACAACAGGCCCACAACTGCACCAACAGTAAAACTACAGAACAGAAACGGTCCCATTTCTAACATTAAGAAGTGAATATCCCCTTCCATTCACAGGTGGACAGAGGGATGAACACATCCTAATCATGACTCCAGGTGTGATAGAAAGTCTTAATATTCAGGGTAAATAATAAAGAAAAAAAACCCAGTAACTAGTCTTAGTTTATTCCCTGTAATAAAGGTTTTAGTGCACTGTAGACCACACATTTTTTTCCACATTAATGACACTGATTATCATCTGCCTGAGATAACATAAAACACCAGAATTCAGTGATATGATGAGAGGTAGGATAGCACACAGTGATAAACTTTGGCAAGGTTACCTAAGCATTCAAATTAGAGCAACTAACTGTAGATCTAGACCACACCGAAGTTAATTCAAAGAGAAAAGGAAGAAAATCAAAGATGTAGCAAGAACAAAGACACCATTAGAACCTGGAAAGTCTTCTGAGAAACACACTTGAAGAACAGAAAGAACTGTTCATGCAAATGATTGTTTTGTAATAATAATTAGCAAAATGAATCTGTCAACATAATGTAAAAGCTTTTTAATTGACATGAAAGGGTGTCAGCTCTTCATTTTCTGCTGGGATGGTTTGTGAGGTTTTCTGTTGGTTTTTTTTTTTTTTTATTTTTTTCAATGGAAAAGAACTTGATATTCTCAAAAACATGCATGTTGGTACTTGTGGCTAAGAAATCAACATTGCTCTTTCAGAAAGCCAAGTTGACGTTCCTATAAGCAATTTGGCCTAGACAATGCAAGTTTGTTCATGTAAGAGTAAAGGGATGAGGTCTTTATGACATACTGGAGTATGGTCCTTGGAATAAGATCCTAATTTACTAAATAAATTACTGTATAGTACTTATAATGGTGTTCACATTATAACTGACAATTAGCACCATTAAAGAGAACGCTCATAAACAGCCAAAGCTCACATCAAATTAACACAGTCATGATTAAAATCACTCTTCTGATTTCTGCTCTTTACAGAAATAATCAGCATTTTGCATAAAAATTAGTATGAAGCAGCTAAAAAAGAATTACAAAAAAATAAAACCAGGGCTATGCTGGGATGGTGGGACTGCACTCCACCAGCACAGCACTGCCACATCAGCTCCTCTGTTGCTGTGAAATATTAAGTGTTGGGTTTCCCTCGGAGCAGGGAGCCCGCACAGACCTTGTGCAGCCAGGATCGGTAACCAGTGCGGTGACACGGGAGATTAAAGTGCTGCAATTACTCCTCTTGGCTCTAATGAGGGGAACCTGGGTTCTCTCCTGGCCCGAGGGAAGCTCATCTTCTTTATTTTAATTTTGTCACTCAGCCATTTAAATGGTTTTCTAGTGTTTGCATGTTCATTTATTCTGCTGTGGCTTCAGAAAGAAAAAGAAAAAGCTGAATAATTATAGCAGAGAAGAACAATAACAAAATACAAAGGAGTCAGCAATTCATTAAAATTTAGAGAATGCAACATTAAAAACTTTTCTTAACTTGAAAAAAAAAAAGGAGTGAGACTTTTTCTAAACTGGCACAGAGCCCACATCCTCATTAGGATTCACACTCCACTCACACAGCAATACACTAATGGTATCACTTTAATCTTCAGCATCACAGCACTAGTTCCTGGCCTCTCCCAGATGTTGATGCTAAAATGGCAAGAAAGAGCAAAAAAGAAACTTCTTGCCAACACTGAGCAGGGCTGGCATCAATCTGGATCCTGGCTAGGGTGGAAGTTTGAAGCACAGGGACATCTCTGCTCATGAATGCTACTTCAGAGACAGTCAGGCTTGTAATGGCTTCATAAGGCTCAAGTATCACTAAGGAAAATCTAATCAATAAATAAGCAATCAAGGTCTCTAGTGAAAGAATACCATTACATATGCCATGGTTTAAAAAGGAATCACAATATGCTACATACTCAAAAAAGTACTGCAAGATAATACGCCTTTGATCAAACATGCCTTTAAAGCAGGAAACACAAGGATGTTCTCATATATCTTACCAACTAATTTAACATATAAATCACAAAAAAATATGATCCAGATGGGCTTCGATGAAGGAAACCAATTAACGTAGACAGCCTTACCATCTGACACATTAGTTGCAATAATAAAAACCAAACAACATGGTCAAACAATAATGCTCCGTATTATATCTGACATTTCTAATTAGTTTCTGCATCCTCTTCAAGAAGAAAGCCTACCAGCAAGCACTTTGTTTCCCAGAGGAAAAAACTTCTAAACTTAATGTGCGCAGAGCTCAGTCTGTGGATGAAGCTGATCTATCTGTGTTCCCCTGGGATGTGCTTTGGAACTAATGGGTTTTGCATAGTCCACGTCTGGTTGCACAATTAGACATAGAAAATATTTCCCTTCAGCTGCATCACCACTGTAACTGCTGCAGACATGGAATGTCAATACCTGCATGCTACTTTAAAGCTTCACCTACACCCATGGGCTCAGAATAAACAGAATGATTTGGGCTTTGATTTCTGTAGGGTAGGATTTTGGTTTATCCTTTCTACAGTCTTCCTAGAAACGCCATTTCTCAAACTAAGCAAAGTATTTTTGGCACAGACCTCCCAGCATCAGGCAATTAGGATTGCATCAGACAGTGGCAAGCTGCACTACAATTAGCATTACAAATTAAAAGCTTCACCATGCATACATGTACAGTTACTGTTTGAGAGGTGTAATGCCAACTCTGAGAGGTGGTTTTGTACGCACTGGCAACAAAGACTCAGTTTCACCACCTTAGACCTACTGGATCCTTCAAAATCCACTCATGGAAATCCTTTTCAGCACATGACTGTAATTTAGAATTCTTGTGTAGGAGGTGAATAGGATCACAATGGGGAGAGTCTTGGTTTGGAAACTTGCTCTTCCTTTACAAAAAAAGCAAAGAAATGGCTGTGGGAATTCTGCTAATGTCATCATACCAAGGAAGGGCAGAGGACAGAGGATGATGTCATTGCAACAAACACAAATCACTAGGAAAACTATGTTTTCCTTATTAGGATTAACACTAAACCTATCTGATACAGCAATTTATTTTGCACAGCATTCATAAACAAGTGACGTAACTTCTTAAAGGCGGTCAAGGCAGTTTCCTTTGTTTTTCACCCTCAATTTTAAAGTAGAAAAAATTCCAACTAACTGAAAAGAAAATTAGGAATACTTAAGCTATGGGAAAATTATTTCTTAGGAATTTGCTTATTTCCAAAGTAATCCATTTATCAAGCCAGCACCGAATAGCCTTGGCATCATAAGAAAGGGTTTGTGAATTCTGACACAAACAAGAAGGTCCAAGGTTCTTCACTACCTCCACCCTTGAAATTTCAGAAGAGGAGCTGACTGGCTCTGTAGGCTTTCTGAGTGCACCTTCCCGAGGTTTAAAAGTACCAGTATTGCCAACTGAGACAGACTGGGCAGCATGACAATGTTTGGCCCTTTGCTCCATGTTCTCAGGGGTGGTCCCTTCTGAGAAATCACAGCTTCATCAAAGAGAAGATGTTGGAAAAGCTTGATAGAAACAAGATAAAATCTCTGCCTCTTAACATACAGTTACACAACTGGGAGACAAAAAACGGCTTCTAATTCTTGTGTGATGGGGCAGTTTAGGCAGGTAGGTGAAAACCAGAGGTTTTGGTCATGCACCAGAGTCTACTACAACCTCCCTTTGAACTCTAGAAGCCCCTTTCCACCTCCTGAAATACATGGTTGGCTAAAGCCACATGTGTTGAATTATGGTAGGCTGAGGGCTGAATCAAGTTCTTGCCAGACCCAGCTCCCAAGATGACCATTTCTGCCCACCCGTGAGCTTCCTGGGCCTGCACGTTCCAAAATGCCACTCTCAGAAAGCATGTATCTGCTTACTGACAGGCAAAGGTGATACGAGATAACATCTGCTTTACCTCACCATGCAAAACCTTGACTGCTGAGTGAAAACCATCAACAGACTCTGTTGACACAGAAAACACTGCGCTGACGACAGAGCGACCTGATGCCATCGGTCACAAGCCAAGACCCAACTGCATCAGGCTCCTCAGCAGCCCCTGGCCTGGGACATCTGAAGGCCTGTCCCTGCAGCCAGCTGCAGCCCGTCACCTGTCCCTGTGCTCCCAACACGGCGGCGCTCCCAGGGCGCTGTGCCCGCAGCAGTTCCTCGCTCCCACCCTGGCACAGTGCCCTGCTATGATCACTGGGCAGCCGTCGGGCCGGGGCTGGCGCGGGCCCAGCTGGCTCCAGCACAGCCTGAGCAAACACATAGCTGCTTGCACGCATCTATGTAGAGATCCTGTCAGTGCAAGGCAAGGGATGGCACCTGAATCCAGGTAGAGGGAGCGCCATGAGTTTGTGCAAGGAAGCAATTCCGATGACAGGCAGCGGTCTCGGCACGACGGCTCCCAGCCCGCCGCTATTTGTTTGTGAGCATCGTGGGAAAGGAAAGGTTTGGAGGACAATGAGGTCACTTTGAGGATATTTGTAAGGAGATCCTCCCACACTTGGAAAGCTTACGCGAGAAACGAGAAAAGTGGCTGTTTGCAACTTAACCCGTGGGACACGAGAGCTGGCAACGTCTGCAAAGCAGAGCTCAGAGCTGACATTGCAAAAGCACGTGAGAGATGATAGATAGAGCGCTCCGAGGGCCGGAAGGGCCTGCAAAGTGATATGTTCACTGAAGAAGCATTGCCCCATTTCACAGTCGCCTCAGACGACAGCAATACGCTCTGATTTTGATTTCCCCAAGAAAATAAGCGTGTCTTTCCACTCACCTCAACAGGGAACCTCTTGCCGTTGATGCTGTGCTCAGAGCCAGCCGATCCGTTGCTTTGACCCCAGTGAAACTCCACTTTCTCTGCCTTGAATCTTCCTGGTAACCCGGCACCACTGACAAAATAATCGTCCTTCAGCAGGATAGCAACTGCACACACAGAACAATGAGAGAAAAACTCTTAGCACAGTTTTTCTGAAACATTTACAGTTTTTGCTCATTATATCAGAATACTTTTTCTAATGCAAGTAAAATGTCGGGTCATCATTTTCTGCTTTACAGGGATTGGCTCAAAAAAAAAAGTCTACAGCTAATGCTGGCTAATTATGGAAGTGATTATGAAGTTACACAGGCAACAGAAAATCCTAAAGTCTGTATTTCTCAAGGACTTCTTGCCCTCCTTATTGGACTTTGATTAAAATTTAAATGGCAAACTCCATCAAAACCTGTTTAATGTGGTTCCAGAAAGTAATGGCTGACCATGGTCCCTGCCCTTATAAACCACAGAAGGTCTGCAGATCACAAGTTAGGAAAAAAATAGATCCTCTGTTTCTTAGATTTCCTTTATTTTGTTGGTGGGGACCCCTGTGCCCTGTCCCACCTCCACTGCTGGACAAGGCGAGTGCTTTCCTCACTCTCTCTGCTCCCCCTCTGTAAAGTGGGGAGAGGGACAATAACATTTCTGAGACCCACTCATGAGACATTCTCCATGAGAACTTGGTTTTACTGCAGTAACTCTGACATTATTATTACGTGATTCAATAAGGGTCAAAAGGATCCTCTTTGTATTTGCTTTTCACTCCCAAAAGCCTTTGTATTTTATGTAACAATAAAAGCTGTAGGTCCAAACAGAGGGCAAAATCGTACGGTGGCCAGAGCTGGTACATGTTACAGGGGAGGTCTGTGGTCCAACCAAGAACTGATTCCAGCTTTCAGAAAGTTCCTGCCTGCTACTCTCACTACAAGATCACCTGTCTTTCCAGCATCTCCTATTTTTAATAAACACAACTCACAACTCCCAAAAATTGCTCCTTACAAAATCTATTTTTTTCATCCCTCACAAAACTGTTGCTTAAAAACAGAACTAAAATTAGAATTTTGTTTCTGCAAAAGCCATTGCAGAACACTGCTTGCTATGCCTAGAATCCTGTGTTTAAAGATTTGGGGTTGGTTTAGGGATTTTTTTTTAATGGAAATAGCAAAACCCACATGGATTTCTCTGTGTTCTCAAGCCAAATGTGTCATTGAAATGGGAACATTAATATAAATCCAATTTTATTATGTAAGACGAAGGATTTTATTACTGCTGAAGAAGGAAAAAAAAGAAAAAGAAAGCTCCTTGTGAAATAGAAGTTACTCCTCTGTTGGTGACTCAGTGCAGGCTCTGCTGCAGGCCAGGCTTTCAGCCCTCCTGTGAGGAGGGCCAGTCCCATTTTTCCACACAGCTCAACTTTAAACTGTTTATGTCAAAACTATCTAAATGTTAAAGTGAATGAGATGTTCAGATGCATCTAAATTGCGCCAGTGAAATCACCTGGCTGTTTTCTTCCATGAATTCTCCTTCTTTCGACAATTCCTTTGAATGCAAGTGTTTTTGTGCGAAAGTATGTGATGCAGTCCTGGCTAGGGCACAGTGACTGTGTCAGCCAGGGCCCTACTGGTAGTCACTCTCTTCTTACACCAAAACGGGGAAACATAAGTGACTGAAAGCACTACTGCTCTCTACCTCCCTTAAAAAATTCTCAATGGGCTCAGCAGTGAAAACCTCATTCAATTAGTTATACATTCCATAGATAAAATTGTAGGAGATGCGGAATACAGGAAAGCAGATTCGCGTGCATCTGTTAAAAACCTCTGTGGAGATTCAGTTGCATCTAATAAATATTTGATAGCTTCTAAATAATTTATGGCTCTGTCAGGGGTCATTTTACTTGTTTTAGATGAATAATTAAAAGGATAATTAGGAGGATGTACAATCTGAAATGTTCATCTAATTGTTCATTTTACAGTATTTCTTATGCTGCTGAGCTGTACAACATGTGTTCCCATCACCTTCCCAGCTTAGCAGCATCCTCTTACTGCCAGTGATTTGGAGTATTCCCTCCCTTTCACATGACCTCTAGTATTCAGGACTGGAATAAACAAACATCACCTTACTAGGCTTTGGAAGCCACTACTTTTATCCAAGAATTTCTATGGAGTGCAAGGAATCAACCTCCAAAGCCCACTAATATAAAATATTGCATAACTAAGATTACAAAACCAAAGGAAGTGGCGTGCAGCCACCAGGACCACAATTGTGTGATGCCATTTGCAGGTTCAGGGATGGAGTTGGAGGACCATGACTCCTATGAGAGCAGGATGATGCACGTCACATAGGAAAAGTACTTAAAAAACCCCAAACATCTCTTGGTAGCCAGTTTCTTTAGGAGAAGAAGTTTTTAAAAGTTCTCAATGACCTAAAAAGGGGCAAAGTGACAATATGGGTGTAATGCTGGCAGAGGTACTGCTCCCATGGGTGCTTTTCCATGGGCAGGTTGGGCTCAAAGAAGCCTCATCCACCTAAGGCCCGGCTGACATCAGCTGACACTTAATTATAATGTGACCCAAACGAAAACAACTAATGCGGACATTACTTTGAAATGTGTGCATACTTTCCAAGTGATCTTTACCACTTAATACTATGGCCAGCTACTATGGTGATGAAATCAAACCCACATTAGTGCTTTTGCCAATGTAATTGTACACAAAAGCATTTCCAGTCGTGACAGGGGCTTAACAAATCCATTTCCATTTTCTGAATGAAACACTGTTTTCCATACATTGTCTGCCCTTTACCTGATATGGGGCGAGGGGTGGGGACACAGAAGAAAGCAGAACAAAGCTAAACAGCAATAACCTCTTCACCTTTCAACAGTTCAGAGCATAATAATAACACTTTGTTCTATTCTTAAAAAAAAAAAAAAAAAAAAAA